GTAACGTGCCAACAACGTGTCCAAAGTAACGAGTGACAAAGTGGGGGGAACGTTTAAGCACCTGGACACTGCTTCGCGCGATCTAATTGGTCGAAAGTACGGTTCCTTTAAAAATTATATCGTTCATCGATTTAAATGAATCCTCAGGTATTCTTGTAATTCTGTCCCTTTCCGAATTTTCATTATTTATAGATTTTTCTTGAAATTTTTCATGATATTATTAATTACTTACAGAGATTTCAACGTCATATTCGTTTTTTTTATAAATATACTCGTGCTACGTCAATGTCTTCTATCTTTGAACAGACGACACTACGAATTTACATGAAATGGGTCGCACCGATAAGAATTAAAATTTTAAGAGCACTTAGACAACGATGATTCTCGCGTTACGTCAGCGAATAGGTCACCAATTTGTTTTAAAATAGCATGAGGAACGGACTTAGACCGAAAGGTCAATTTGTCGTCCAAGAAGAAAATCATTGAGTCGTACTACTGAAAATATTTTCCATCCACTCTGCAGCAAAAGTTATGAATGATCGATTACATCCAAACGAACGCTATTTTTATTCTGAAAATCACCAGAATTAATTATGTAACTGTGTCAACTAAAGACAGAATTCTTTTGCAACATTTAAATTAACTGTATATCTAAAATTCTAAATTCGAACGTTTCGTCGTGTAACGCTAAAAGAGATTCTTTCGTTATCTTACTGTTGATTCGTCGAAACAAAAATCGTGTTGAAACGAACCTCGGTTTTCGGGTGGTATCACCTTTTCTATCTTCCTTCGAGAAAAAAAGCCTCGTGGGAACCAGCACCTTTTTCCCTCTTAATGTTTCGGCAATACTACAGCGTGGACATACAATCGTAATACATCGAGAAAACGAGCACGAGTATTGAACGAAAAGGCAAAGTAAATCGCGTTAAGATGCTTTCCTGTCGCCGTGCAATACTAAATATAAACATTTAAGAAGAAACTCCTAGTCAGATAAAAATATCGACGAACGAATAAACGATAAACTACCATTCGATTCGAACCTTAGAGGCTAGATTGTTAAGTTTTGCATTCGGTTTACACTTACATGAATTTTAATTTTGTTTGTAAATCGTGTATAAACCCGATATCGAGTTTCTTCTGGGAGAATAAAATAAAATAGAAGCAATAGAGGGTGAAAAAAATATCCTCGAATACGGGACACGAGTCCGCAATCACGAACATATGTACTGCTCGCTTATGCCATCTGCACCGGGGCAACTTCGATGACAGAAATTGGTATTCATGGTATACATGGTGTATCGTAACACGTAGGATCCATTTAGTCGTTAAATCGGATACATAAAAGCAATAGGAAAAAGTTCGTACGGGCACGCGAGAGCAATTTCGCCTTCTCTCCAAGTTACAACCGTTTTTTGTACTTTGGAAACGTAAAAAGATGGCCACCATTTACTAAAATATAGAAGAGGTACCCTGGTCGTAAAGTTCCTCGATATTTTAAATATTCTGGGCATACACCGCTTGTTGATAGTATTCGTTTGTTGAATTAATAATAGTTTAAGCGGAAAAATAGATATCTAGCGGATATAAGTGTGGAGAACTAGCAACTCTCGGGGCCGTGGATTCTGCACGACGTGTCTATCTGTTAGGAAATCGTTCATTCAAGAACTGTCTGACTGCTCGACTGAAATGGGACGAAGCCCCGTCACGCATAAATCATATACGACGTACATCTAATGGAACTTCTTCCTATAACTCATGCAACTGATTACTTAAGACACTGACGTAAGACGAGTTGTTAATTTCCCCATCGAGGAAAACGAGGATCGAACAGTCTACATACCAAATCTGAAGACTAGGAAATTATAGAAAAATGGCTACTATATATCACGCAGAAGAGAACAGAAATTTGATCACGACAAAAAATTACACAAACAAAATTTACCTTAAAAAAAAGAAAAAGAAAGATAGCTCACAACTATAAACACTGTAATATGATGAAAGAAAAAACTTTGTCAAATGCTCTCCACTAATGCAACGTTGTTCTAATCCAAAGATGGGTTAAATCCTGAGAGGAAGCTTGGTATTGCGATACGCAGAAATAAAAAAGATCTCGTTTGGATCAGAGATCCGTCGTCTAGGGTCTCGCAAAAGTAGATCTCGTCGAGTGCCCGGGTTCTAAGTGCAACAGGGTTGCTGCACACCGAGTGGCGGGGCTGAACCGACTCGGTCAACAGCGTCCAAAGAATAAAACGGGGGATCCGCGCTTCCAGCGCGGTAATAGCATCATTGTTTCTACGAGGCAAGGAAGCTTTCCGCGGAGGAAAAAGCCGCGGCCCGTTTTCAGGACAATTACGAAACTCGGGGGGAAAGTTCTTCCGAGGCGGGTAGCCCTCAAAGAGCGTCAAAGGTGCGACGAATCCTTTGTGGAGACGCGTTCAGGACGACCGACTAAGTGCATTCCTTTATTAGAGAGTTTCAACCAGGAAGAGCCCGGTATACTTAAGTGCGGCCACCGACAAGTGAACCGGCCCGTTTTGCACTTTGAATACCGTCCAGCTAAGTGCGATCCAGTTTTGAGGCCAACGGAGCCGCAACCTACAAGATGTCCAGTTACAGACCTTAAAATTGTCTCATTCGATCGTGACAATAGACAACCATAGGCTTAACCATCTTCTAAGTACGTTGAATTAGCGAGGAACCAAGAATTTCGGTTTTCTTCGCTTTGAAATACCTCGGAGATAGGAACGTTTAATAAAATTAGCGAATTAAATTTTTTAATCGTGATTTTCAAAGGCGACCGGGCACTTTTGTTCCGTTAATTTGTATCGAGAAAAATTATAATACAAGGTTACAAAAGGAAAGCAATTTTCTATACGTCTAACAAAGTTATTTAATAACGCTCGACGGAGCGAAATACTGTACAATGGACGGGGAATTCTTCATCGGGCGGCAGTGGCTTTTAATTTCCCCCGGCAAGTTCACTATCGAAGAAATTCTTCGAATAACCATGGCCCCGTGTTTCTGAAATTTCCAAGAAGCTTCCCGGGGCACGCGGATGGGACAAAGACGGGGAAAAACGCTCCATAACGTTTCCAATATTTTCCTAAAAGCGTAATGCACGAAGAGGATCAAATAGATCGAAGGAAACGTATCGGCCAAATAAAGGATGAGTTCCGCATACTTCAATCCCCGGAAACATCGTTTCTCGTGGAAAAGGATTTAGCAGCGAACGGAACACATTTTTCTCTAAGAACCTTTAAATACAGAATTTTTTATGGGGCGAGCCACGAAACTTTCAAACTCGCTAAATTTATTGCTCGTTGTTCCGGTGTACGTTGCCTCGAATTTTTTTCGAGAAATATTATTCATTAGAGACGTTACGGTTAATTTTAGACGGTGAACATAAATTTACACTTCGTTCTCCGTACGTCAGAAAATGAAACACTGTTTTATTAAAAAAATTTAACATTTTAATATTCGATTCGGTTTAGAGCTTTCCCTTTTACTGACTTTGTTCTCTACGCTGAAAATTGTTGAATATTAAATTTACTACAAGACTCATTCTCAAAAAAATGATTATAATTTGGGGACGAGAATTTCTTGTCGAACGACGTGTTTAGAGGCAATCGTAGAAAAATATTGTCGATGCTTTCGCGCACGGAACGCAGAAACGTGGAAATATAGGATGTTTCGAGCCCGGATGGATCGACATGTGCCAACAGAGCACGCCAAACACTTTGAAATTGAAACTCGAACAGAACAGGAAATTGTTACCGGTGCGATCGTTGTCCAGAATGGGTGGTTGACCAAGGTCTTCCTATTCACGAGCGATTGAAGATGCCTCGAGTGTTTCTGAAAAATCAAAAAACGCGACGAACGTATCGGCGAAACGACACTTCACGACCCCGTTCGCTATTCCATCGACGAGTCCCGTTTCAACAACAGACACTCGTTCCGTCGAGACTCGTTGACCTTTCAACGAGGTACCATTAAAAGAATCCAGGATGACTCCGGGAAAGGAGGCTTCCAGTCGCGAAACAGGACGGATCGACGTCTTTGTTTGCGACGCGATTTACATTACGCGCTTCAATTGCTTCACGAGACATTCTACCCCTAACAAGAATGCAATAGAAGCATTATCCCCGAGAGGGAAAAACTCAAAACGTTAAAATTTATAATCAGCGTATGTCAAACAACTCTTAGGAAAGATATTTGCATATAAATTGTAGGCTCTAAATCATGAAAACAGGTAAAAATAAATTTTAAATAGCTGAAAAGAATTATTGTATCAGCATGAAATTATTAAGAGTCGAGCAAGCAGTGGCCCCAATTTATAGTGATCGTTCGATCCCAGCAAACAGCGCCATATTGTTCGATATTCCTAACCCAATCGAGTCCCCGGATAGTCGTGGAATATTCTTCGCGACGTTTTTATTATTTTTAAATCCCAAGGTTCATCGACCACTTCCTCCCCCAGCCGATATGACGCATTTCGCGCACAGAAGCCGCCGGGGATGTAATAATGGCTGGCTGATCTCCAATAATGGATAGAACGCGTCAAAAATGGCTGGCACAGCTGCGTTTCATACGTGTCCGATTTATAGCAACGACGCGGCATCCGTTGACCTCTTTCCCTGAGAGCAGAGAGAGCACGGTCCATGCATTTTCCCGATCCCCGCGATCCATTACGTTTCATAGGACCGGGGGAAAGAAAAAACGAGGAGCCACCGGCGAAGTCGGTTCTAAAAACGCATCAATTTTTCGAGAATCCGACGCCCGTTACTCGCCGAGCACCGTGTAAACCGTGTAGATCGTTCAGATTGGTGCTCTAAGGTCCTTCCGATCCAAGAGTTCACGAATCATATAAAACAGTTTTAACTCAGGGGTCTACGAAACACACGTCAGTCAGTCTCGACTTGATTTTATGAATTTATACAAAATTCTGATTTCAATTCTAAAAATATTCTTAATTGCAACCCACGGTTAAAACGAAATTCCAGAAGCGGAGAGAGTGGCGGGAGTAGCGTTTCCGGTTCGGGGACCAGCCTCTCGGCGCCCGAGGACCCCAGTTCGCCGACGCCCTGGAAGCATCGTCGAAGAGCGTCGACGTTCAACGAGGCGCACCTGCAGCGCGCCAAGTCAACCTCCCCGAAGACGCCCAGGAAACGATCGTTCAGCTTCCACGAGCAGCCCGTGTTCAGCAGGACGCCGAGGAAGGATTCCTCGAACGAGGAGAACGTCCAGGGGAAGACCGTCGAGAAGCAGGAGGGCGAACTGGCCCTTCCTCCGCCGTGCACCTGCCCCTACTTCGGGGAGTCGTCGAAAAGGACGGCCCCTCAACCCTCCGGCGAGATTGTGATAGTGTCTAGTGAGACTATGAAACCCATCACGGGGAAGAATCTCGAGACTGGTCTTTTGGGGAGGAACAACAGCAGCAGGGCCGAGTCCAGCAGGAGCTACGAGCTCAACTCTGTCGTCACGTGGAGGGGCGGCAGGAGGGGATCCAGCTTAGGTAGGTTTGCAAATTGGTTTCGATTTTTTGAGCAATGGATGAAAATTGTTGAACACAAAGTGGGACTATTCGAACGTTCGATTTGTGAAATATGCGTCATGTCTTTGGTTTAAGAAGCATTCTTAAGTATAGAGAGAAGACTCTATGGTTAGGTGCAACTCTTTCCTTCGTGTCACTTTACACAGTAGTAGAATCTCCATATCATATACATACAGGGTGTTACTCTACCTATAGTCAATATTTTTTTTTGGGGTGTGTGTGATTCTACAGGTGAATATAAGTCGAAAATCAAGAGTGATGAAATTGCGGTAAATGCTTTGTTTATTAATTATCGATGGTTAAAGATTGGCGTCTGGAGCGCCTGAATGACGGCAACTTAAAATAGGGCTGGTCAGTATACCAATATCGATCAGCGGCAACGTCGAAGACCCCAACGAAAATCAGCTGATGGAACAGCCCGGCCGCCGATCGATATTGGTGTACTGACCGGCCCTATTGTCACCGCAGTTCGAATTTTAATTATTTCTCTATTAACCCTTTGCATTCGAGGAATGTTTCGGTACGCACAAATCCAGTCTGCTTTTCCTGTACAGTTTTTAATACCAAACGGTTACAAATGGTTCTTACCGTATTTACCGCTGTCCGTCAAGTTGCCGTCATTCAGGCGCTCCAGACGCCAATCTTTAACCATCGATAATTAATAAACAAAGCATTTACCGCAATTTCATCACTCTTGATTTTCGACTTATATTCGCCTGTAGAATCACCCCCCAAAATATTGACTATAGGTAGAGTAACACCCTGTATATTCATACGTTTCCCCTTTTAGCCCCATCGAGTCTCTACACTAGTCGACCAAATCAACAGCTAAAATATATGTATAGAATTATCGATGGCTGCATTAAGAGACGTCTACTCGCGAAATAAATAAATAAACGTTGCAGGAAGCACGAGGACGTCGCTGCTCGCGTCCAGGGCGGTCCCCATCAGACGCGCGGCGACAATGCGAGCGCACAACGGCGCGGCGAGCATCGGTTCGAGACAGAGCAGCAACTCCTCGTCACCGTGTCTGCAGAGATATCCTGGACAAGTGCGTAGCCATCATTCGAGAACCAGCAGCGTGGTGTCCAGGAACAGTTCCCGTCACGGTCGAATCATCAGACTCGAGCAGAAGGCTACCAAGGTATTGGGCGTGGTCTTCTTCACCTTCGTGATCCTCTGGGCGCCGTTCTTCGTCCTGAACCTGATACCAGCCGTGTGCCCCGACTGCGAGCGACAGATCGACCACAAGATCTTCGACCTGGCCACCTGGCTGGGCTACGCCAGCTCGATGGTGAACCCGATCTTCTACACCATCTTCAACAAGGTGTTCCGGCAGGCGTTCAAGAAGGTTCTGCTCTGCAGATACGGGAACCAAACGTGGCGGCCGTCAAGGTAGGCCTTGGGCCCCGGGAGGCCGGGGATCGCCATCACCAGAGTTTAATATCACAGGGATTCGCGAACATCCTGAGAGGCAAACTGGCGACCTTTCGATTCCCCCGGTGGCGCTTCTGGGGCTGAACCGTGAACCGTGAACCCATCGATCTGCGAAGATCCATCCCCCCCGGGGCTCCCGCGGAGAGCGGAAAAAGTTAATTACTGGCGGCGGGGAAAAACTGGGACGAACGATTTTTTCATTTGTTTTTTTTCGGGATCCAGGGTTACTCCACCCCGGGCGATTGGCGTTGCTCGCCGAACCGCGAACCCGCGCCACGTGCTTTAATTTTCGGCGCGCGGTTTCGCGGAGCTTTTCGCGAAATTGGAAAAGACGATTACGTTCTCCCGTGAACCGAGAGCGACCCCGGGAACCGGGACAAAGGTGCAGTTCTTCGGGTGAAGTGTTTCCAACGAACGTCGAGCAACGAGGATTCCAATTATTTTTCGCGCACCGAGACCGTGTTTCCACGATGTTCGACAGGAAGGGAATTAATATTTCGTCGATCGAACGTGGGAAGAGATTACGCGAAGGTTGCGCGAGTAGGTGCTCGAAATATTATCGAGGAAGCATCGAACCAGATCAGAGACAATTTCGTACGCGAGACACGCTCCAAAGGAGCCATTTAGCCTTTACCTTTTCGACGGGCGAGTAGGTTGTTGAAATTAAGCGTCGCGGATCTAGGATGCGTAGAATCTTCGCGACTGCCGCCCTTAATGAACGGCGGTCCTCGAACTTTTAACGAGTAACGGTAGAGCAAGAAGCGTTAAAGCAGCCTCGACGGGACGTAGAAAGAGCGCTCGTTCGAGGCGAATCGGCCTTAATGGCGGCCCGTAAACACGAATTACTAGATAATTAATGGCATTTCGCGAATTGTTATCGCCTTGTTAACTCTCAACGAAGCGTCGAACTTGTATCGTCTGTCCTAGCAAAATGAATTCCCTGCGAAACGAGCGTTTAACCCGTTGCCTTGTACGGAAAATTGACAACCATAGTCGAAACGTTAGAAGCGTTCTATCGTTGCGTGAAACTAACTCGTAGCATAATAAATAGACAAGACACGATATCGCACGGATAACTGTATCGGTGACATCCCCCGCTATTATAAATAAAGAATAAAAATATGAAATTCGTTTCCAAATTAACTTCCGTATATGCCCCGTTTGTGAACTAATAACATTGAAAGAGTGTAATAAAATGATAAACGTAAACTGAACCGATTCAGTTTCTTCGATCGAAAAATTTGTTTACTCTGTTGTTGATACGATTGATTGTTTAAAGATCTACAAGGCGACAGGTTGACCCTCCGGGACGCCCTTGCTTCGATCGATACCTATGCTCGCTTCTGAAAACGAGATGCGAACGTTGATTGAATTTTTCTGTTCCTTGTATCAGTGGCAATAATCGATCCGAATACATCGTTGGTCGAGAGACGTCCTCGCTTGTATTACTCCGTGCTCAAATCCATACGAATAGAGAGAACGAGAGCGACAGTGCTGTTTCACCGAGAGACTGAAACTTCTTTTGAACCTCGAGGAATATAAGAATAATCTGTAATAACGATGTCTAAACATACAGCTTCTAAGATCGAGTTACCTCGGGTCGTTTCGTATGTTTTTGCGTTTCTTTGATCAAATAAATTGCGTTCGAAGAAACTACGTGTACACGTGTATGGGGGAAAATATTAATCGACTTTCTCCTGTTCAAATATTTCCTTTCGTAGAATATATCGATGTTCTGACAAGGGATTTACCGAAATACTGACCACCGAGAATGGGTGAAAAATTGCTTAAAATTCGTGGGTGGTGGTATCAATTTGGACACGTATTAGACTCGAGGTGAAGGATTCTAGCAATCCCGAGGAAAGTTCAGATTCGCGGATTCGGTCCAACGGATCGGCCGGTTCCTTTTCTCTCCGCGAAAGCAATACGCGAAATACGAACAGAATTAACTCGATCGAACCAAAGGCGAGGGAATGAAAGTCGATACCTAGCCCATAGTTTCGCGTTCGAAAAAGGAAAAGGGAGGTGGCGGCACAAAAGGAACCTCCGCAGGAGCTGGCGGCCGCAGCCGGAAACGCTCGTTTCGGCGGATTGCTCCGCCGAGTGGCGGGCCGCGATAAAATTTTCAAACGAACGCGGATATTGTCGAGTGGACGATTTTTCAGCGCCCTGAAAAACCAATTGGAAGCCAGACGAACAGCTCGATCCGTCCGTGCTCGACCAGGATTGGGATTGTTTAATTTTTCTATATTCCAAGATCAGAATATTCGCCGGATTACCTTCGAGTATTATTCAAACATTATTCAAACGCTCGAGCAATCTGGATGTAAAGTATTTCCCACGATAAATGTGAAAATTTTATTCCCACCGCTAGGAGGATCTCGTGCAATTTTGCTAACGAAGATGTTAATATTTATGAGATTTTTCCGGCTAAAACGAGATCAAACGCGACGTAATTCGGGCATTTTTGCTTGTTTAACGAGTGGATACTTTGTTTTTATTTGCTGGATAGGTAAAAACGTGATCCAAGTTACGTCGCGTTTGGTCTCGTTTCGAGGCAACTGTTCGTACATAGTTCCTGGAACATAGTCACGTTTTGCATTGTTACGGTGGCGCTAATAAAGTTAACGAGAGTGCGTGTGGAAGCGCGTGTGTGCGAGATACACAGAACAATAGCTAGAAAACGAGTTTTCTAGCGTTTTCTCGAAGATTAACGAAATATTTGGAGACACTGAGGAAGAATGAAAATCGACCCGTACCTAGATCCTTTCCACGATCCTTGGAACTCGATTGCGATCGTCAATCGTTCCTCTTAATGCTAATGTTGTGTTTTCTCGATGATTATTGTTGTGTGGGCGATTAAATTCTACGATTTAACGCGTTACCAGCCTAGATGCTATCTTCGGTGGTTTGGTCATATTTTGTGAAGCACTTTGAACCAAGGACTTCTTCGTAAAATTAAAATAATTTTTAATCGATTTATATTTGAACGATTATGTAATACAAACATGGAATTTTGAATCTGTTTGCTGTAAAAAGAGATACTCGATAGTATACGCTGGTAAAACGTTAACTGCGTGGAAAGAAAACGTATTTATTAAAATGACCGTTGTTCCTGAAACGATCGCTCTTGAACGTTGCATTTTTATTCGAGTAAAAGCTACGACTTAAAGTGCTTCGAGCAAATATAGATCCGCGAATTCACAATGGCCAGGAAAACGACAGAGCTTCCGTCGTTGGAACTTTTTTTCATAGCAACGAACCCAAGAAGAGCCCCGAGCTTTTCCTCTCGCCATTCTTGGAGTACATCGTTTGAGCGTCGAAACGCCAATCACGGATTGCTTTAAGAGAAATGGCTGGTATTGCTTATTATTCTGACGTTTCCGATCTCGATTGATTTCTAAGCGGAAGAAATTCGAAGTAAATTGAACCGACATTAATGTTACGAATCACTTTGTTACTAGTTTGCTTGACGATTGTGTAGTATTTGAGTAAATACGAACAACGTCTAATTTTATTTAATGACACCGAAGTGTTCAAATATTTGACAAACGAATTCAGAAGATTAATTGGAATAAAAAAAACTTGTGACTGACTCAGAAATAATTTATAGAAATTGTTATAATTTCATGGAAAATCTAAGTATATCTTCTGGCCAAACCATGTACTCCAAGACGCAAGTTACGAACGCACAAAGTTATTATTTCGATAATACTTGTTGGCCTACTGATCTCGACGATATTTCAAGCCGATTTGCATCATTGCTGAAGAAGAATTATGCACAAGTCACGCGTAAGTATATACAGTCAGTGTTTTTAATACGATGTTGCACAGAAATGGGCAAAATTCTTATCTAAATAAAAGATTTTAAGTAACTCATAAAGAAAAAACAGAGACAAACTTCCTTTTCGATTCTTTGTGTATTGTTCGAATAAAATTTTGCCCATCTCTTATCAAATCCCCCCAATGATTAGTTCTCTCGATCTTAATCGAGAAATTTGTAAATAACAAATGCAATTAAAAAATTAAATTAAAGCCACAAACACGCGAAATTTAACCGAATACATTACTCGTAAAGATCGTGTCATTTCGATGCTCGGTGTGTTTAGTACCTATTATTTGTGACCACGCAATATTTATAAGACATAGTTCAAGTATAGTTCCTATAAATAACAATACCCAAGTCAGTAACATCTGTAACGAAGTAAACATTTCAAACATTGTCCACGATAATCCGAACAGACTTGGACAGAAAATAAAAGCCAGACGTCAGAAAAAAACATTTTCAGACCCGAAAAGCCGTCCAACGACGCGTGGAACAATTTTCCAAAAGTAATAAAACAAAGTAACTCGACGAAGAAGAGACAGTCGTCGATTAAAAGAATACGGGGGAACTATATATCATTCTAAAAGAAGATAGATAAAGTGGGAGGTATAAATCACAGTCGTGCTCGTAAAAACGACGGAAGATTTAAAAAAAGAACGATCTACGAGAAATTTCGAGCGGACCAATAAGTCCGCGGTTCGACGAGGAAAAATTTCGCCGACGATGTAAATCGATATAGAAAAACTCGTCGCGTTAGGTAGAATTGCTGATAAATCGTTCTGCGGCAGGAGAATCCGCGAAGAAACGCGAATCTGCGCAGGGGGAAACGAGGGGAGACAGTACGCTTATGTCAGTAGAAGCGAAACCCGCGATTATAGTGAGTAACGACGTCGCGTAGAATTACTATAGTCGGATCAAATTCGAGTTCTCGCTCGTAGCTGCTTCCTCGTCGGTGAATCGCGTCAGACTGACCCCTCCACGTCGATGTGACTCGGAGAGGTGGTGGGGGTAGTCGAACGGAGCGGTGGGGATGACTTCTTGGCGACCTTGAGCGACCAATTGATTCTGACCACACTCGACGCGCAAATATCATCCGTTAAACTTTCTTACAGCATTCGAGCACCTTGTACGTTCGG